TTCGCATGTTCGCATCTTGGGCTTTCACCGCGTCCAAGACGGCCCAAGAGGCCTCCAAGACGGCCTAGGAGGCCTCCGGGAGCGCTCCAAGGCTGCGCACGAGTGGCTCAGGACGGCCCCAAGACGGCCCAAGAGAACCCCAAGACGACTTCGAGAGGGGTCCCAGAAGGAGAAAGCCACTCTCGAATTCCGAGCTTCCGGCCCAACATATCCCAGGAGGCGCCAAAACGCCGCCCAGAGGCGCCAAAAGGCTTCCAAAAGCACCCCAAGACGTTCCGAGAGGCACCCCAAGAGAGGTGCAAGAAACAAAAATCGTGCCATTCCTATGGGAAAACGTATATTTTTCGCATGTTCGCATCTTGTGGCTTTCGCCGCGTCCAAGACGGCCCAAGAGGCCTCCAAGACCGCCCTAAGACGGCCCAAGAAGCTTCCAAGAGGGCCCCAGGACAGCCCAAGAAGGCCCCAAGACGGCCCAAGAGGCGCCCAAGATGGCCCAAGAGGGCCCCAAGACGGGCCCAAGAGGGGGCCCAGAGGGGGACCACGAACCGCAAGCTCGAGCCTTCCGCCCCAAGAGGCCGCCAGGAGGCCCCAAGGAGGCCCCTCAAGAGGCCCCAGGAGACCCCCAAGAGGCCCAAAGGAGGCCCCGAGAAGCCCCAAATCGGCCCCCAAAATGCTTCGAACCTGCTTCCAGGAGGCCCCCGACAGGTTCAGAGGCTCCCGAGAAGCTACGTCAAACTCCCAGCGAGCGGCCGGACGAGTCCCCCCATAAAATCACCAGAGGGGTCCAATATTTGTATCCTTCAGCGCTCTCTGGCCTTCTTCCCCCTGCCCCCTTCCCTGCGACTTTCGTTGACTCAAGCTCGCCTCCTAGCTAGAACCTAAGCGCGCGCGAAGCGCGCGCGTGGTTCTAGTTATGTATATATGCATGCATGAATGTATGCATGCATACATTCATGCATGTATGGATGTATGACTGTATGCAAGTAAGTAAATATAGGTGTAATATGTAGTCTGTATGTATGCATGTATGTATACATGCATGCATGCATACATGTACATTGTCTGTTTTCCAAACATATTTTTACAGGCATACATCACGTATATCTGTATGTATGTATGCGTGAATGTATGTAAGTAAGTATGTACGTATGCATGCCTGTCTGTATGCATGTATGCATGTATGTAAGTAAGTATTCAGGAGGGAAAGAAACACACAGACACACTTAATCGTGGATTCCTTAGAAAATATAGGAAAACATGGGCAGTTGGGGGGAAGACAGAAACCTAGGAAATATGGGAAATATGGGGAATCCTGTTATTTGTGTGTATTTATTTGTGTGTCCCAGGGCTCCTTCAAGTATGTCTGTCTGTCTGTCTGTCTGTCTGTCTGTCTGTCTGTCTGTCTGTCTGTCTGTCTGTCTGTCTGTCTGTCTGTCTGTCTGTCTGTCTGTATGTATGTATGTATGTATGTATGTATGTATGTATGTATGTATGTATGTATGTATGTAGTATGTAGGTGGGTAGGTAGGTAGGTAGGTAGGTATGTATGTATGTATGTATGTATGTATGTATGTATGTATGTAGGTATGTGTGAGAGTATATGTTTATATACTCTCACATATATATATATATATATATACACACGCCTCTTTCCATTTGTTTTTGTAAGCCCGGGCGGGGGGACCCCACCCCACCCCACACAAAACTGGACTCCCGGGATCTGGGGCTTTGGGACCCTCCGGACGGGCCTCGAAGCGGCACCCCGGGCCTCGCAGGGCGTGGCGCGCTCCCGAAACGACCCCAGAGAGCCCCAACACGGTCCACGACGACCCCCAAGAAGCCGTCATACCCCCAAAGATCGTCCCGAAACGTCCCAAGAGGCCTCCAAGAGCACTCCCAAGAAGGCCCCTAGAGGCAAAAATCATTGATTTTCTGTTGGTTTTTGGTGAACTTTGGGGTTCTCCTCTTTTTGGCTTCCCGACGCTCCCAGACGGGGGTCTTCTGGGCGTCCGAAGCCGCCTGGGAGGCTCCAAAAACGCCCCACAACCATCCGAAAGGGCTTCCAGGCAGTCCAAGAGAGCCCCAAAACGGCACAACAGTGGTCCAAGATGGCCCTCAGAGAGCCCCATGGCGGCCCAAGATGGCCCCAAGACACCCTCCGAAGCATTCCAAATCGTGACCCGGTCGCTCAGGGAGACCGCGGTTGGAGGCAGGGTGGCCCGAGGAAGCCCCCAGAGGCCCCCAGGACACGCCCAGGAGGCCTCCGAAAGGCCTTGAGAAAGCCTGAAACAACTTTTGTGAGGCCCCCAGAGGCTCTCCAATGAGGAGCCTCCGCAAAAAGAGCTGAGGAGGATGGGGAGAATGCGCAGGGCATGGCGAAAATGAGGAAAAAGAAGCATGGAGGAAGGATAACGAATAACATTATTATAGCGGCGATGCTTGAAAAGGCAACAAGGAGTTATCGCTAAATTGTCGGCTTGACCTTCATGCTAGTCTGCCTGCATACGAAACTTCAAGGACCAAGGTGCATGGCGCGATGCGCCACTGCAGTCTTTGTGTGTGTATGTATGTATGTATGTATGTATGTATGTATGTATGTATGTATGCATGCATGTATGTAGGTAGGTAGGTAGGTAGGTAGGTAGGTAGGTAGGTAGGTAGGTAGGTATGTTTGTTTGTATGTATGTATGTATGTATGTATGTATGTATGTATGTATGTATATGTATATTGATATAAGCATATATGTACATATATGTATGTATGTATGTATGTATGTATGTATGTATGTATGTATGCATGCATGCATGTATGTATGTATGTATGTGTATGTATGTATGTATGTAGTATGTATGTATGTATGTATGTATTATGTATGTGCATGTATATGTATGCATGTATGCATGTATATGTATGCATGTATGCATGTATGCATGCATGCATGCATGCATGCATGCATGTATGTATGTATGTATGTATGTATGTATGCATGTATGTATGTATGTATGTATGTATGTATGTATGTATGTATGTATGTATGTATGTATATATATATATATATATATCTATATATCTATCGGAGTAGGCCGGGGGGGGGCCGGGCCGGTGCCGCCCTCCCCCATGGGCGCCTCCCGGGACCTTCGAGGGGTCACAGTCCCCCCAGGCCTGCCCCGGGCCGCTTCCAAATTGAACACGACAGGCCACGCGGGCCGTACAGATGGTCAAGAAAGCCTCAAGAGGCCCCCAAGACGCCCAAGATGGCCCCAAGACAGCCCAAGAAGCCCCGAAGCCGCCCCAAGAGGCTTCAAAGAAGCGTCCCAAGAGAGCCCCGAGAGGCCAAAATCGATGATTTTCCATTGTGTGTTTTCTATGTTTTTTGGTTTGATCGCTTTTTTTCCTTTCCGACGCTCCAACAAGCCCAACAGGTCCTCAAGAGTGCCCCAAGACTGCCCGGGAGGCCCCCCAGACGGCCTGAAGACGGCCCTGGACAGCCCCAAGACAGCCCAAGAGGCGCCCCAGAGGGCCTTAGAAAGCCCAAGAGGGCCCCGAGAAGGCTTCCAGAGGGCCCCACGAGGAGGAACAAAAAGTCAAAATATTATTTTTCCGCCCTGAAAGCTTCCCAGGAGGCCCCGAGAGAGCCCCGAGACGCGCCAAGGAGGCCCCCAAGAGGCCCCGAGGAGGTCCCCACGAGGCACCCCAAAGACCCCAAGATGCCCCAAGACGAGCGCCAACCCCGCCCCCTCCGTCAAGTTGCGTTCACGCCGCGTTACGCAGACGCCGTCGCGCAAACCTCTCGGGCCTGGGCGGTTCCGGGAGATGTTTCCGGAGGGGCCTCCGGGAACATCTGCTTCGGGGGGGCGAGGATCCACACCCTGCCCCTTGCCGTCGTCGTCGTCGTCGTCGTCGTCGTCATCGTGGGCGTCGTGATGACGTTCGCTACGATGCTCATGATGATCATGATGATCATGGTGATGATGGTGATGCTGAAGCTGAAGCTGATGATGATGATGATGATGATGATGATGATGATGATGATGATGATGATGATGATGATGATGATGATGATGATGATTTTTAGTATTCGTATGATTATTGTTCTTATCCTTATCAGTATGAAGGTTAGGGGATGATTTTGTTGTTGATGGTAATAACGATCATGACGATGAATATCACCATGATGGCCACCATGATTATGATGATTATGCTGCTGCTGATGATGATTGTCGCCCTGACACTTCACGAAGCATGAAAAGGCCCGTCAGAAAGCTTCCACGGACGGCGCAGGAGGACGGGGATGAGGCAACCCAGGAGACGGCTTCGGGAGAGGGACCCTAGAGGCCCCCAGGAACCCCCCAGAGGCCATCATTCAATCGGGAAAGGCAGCCGTGGCGCAGCTGCATCCTGGGATGCACACAATGCCCACTGACAACGTCTTCGGAGTCGACTAGAACCTAAGCGCGCGAAGCGCGCGCGTGGTTCTAGTATGTATGTATGTATGTATGTAGGTAGGTAGGTAGGTAGGTAGGTAGGTAGGTATGTATGCATGCATGCATGCATGCATGCATGCATGCATGTATGTATGTATGTATGTATGTATGTGTGTATGTATGAATGTATTCATGTCTGTCTGTCTGTCTGTCTGTCTGTCTGTCTGTCTGTCTGTCTGTCTGTCTGTCTGTCTGTCTGTATGCATGCATGCATGCATGCATGCATGCATGTATGTATGTATGTATGTATTTATGTATGTATGTATGTCGGTATGTACGTATGTATGTATGCAATTATTTATGCATGCATGCATGCATGCATGTTCATCTGTCTGTCGGTATGTATGTGGTTATGTCTAGACATTTACATACATATCTGTAAATACATATTTAGGTGTACACATGTATTCTAATCGCCGATGCATCGGTGATGCATCGGCGATGCGGTGCGATCCTCGGACCCCATCTACTCCGACCCCACAAGGGAGGTCTGTTGGCCGCCCCGATCCTCCCAGGTGGCAACGCAGCAGACCGACGGGGCCGCCGTCGACCGCCTGGCGTCGCTCGAGGTCGAGGCGGGGCATCTGGGGGCCGACCAGACGGCGCGGCGGCGGCTTGCCACCTGCGCGGATGCCGACAGGACCTGCGGGGAGTGTTTAATGGGTCGAAGTCGGGGCCGGAAGTGGAAAGGAGAAGGAGGGACAAGAGGCGGAGGCGGGGTCGCAATGGGAATGGTGGTGGTGATGATGCTGATGATGCTGATGGTGGTGACGCTGCTGACGACGATGATGATGGTGATGATGACGATGTTTATGTTTATGATGATGATGCAGATGATGATGATGCTGATTATGATGACGACGATGGTGATGATGATGCTTATGATGCTGCTGCTGATGCTGATGCTGATGCTGATGCTGGTGCTGCTGCTGATGCTGATGCTGATGCTGATGCTGCTGATGATGATGATGATGATTCTGGTGATTCTGGTGATAGTGATGGTGATGATGATGATGATGATGATGATGATGATGATGATGATGATGATGATGACGAGGGGGATGATGATGATGATGATGATGATGATGATGATGATGATGATGATGATGATGATGATGATGATGATGATGATGATGATGATGATGATGATGATGATGATGATGATGATGATGTTGATGTTGATGTTGATGATGATGATGATGATGATGATGATGATGATGATGATGATGATGATGATGATGATGATGATGATGATAATGCTGATATTGTTGATGAGGATGATTAGGAGGATGATAACGAGGACCGAATTTGTGACGACAGTGCAGACCGAGGCGCAAACATGTACCATGTGCTTTTCTGTCCCTGAAAGAGTTTTGGACCTCTCATTTGGGCCTACGGCCGCCCTCACCGCTGAGCCGCTACGGCGGTTTCCAGAACCCCTGACTCTAAAATGTTGCCATCGCTTGGGGGCGTATCTTTTACTTCCGCCAGCCTTCCGCCGGCGGAGCCGCCCTCGTTTTATTTCCGCCGCCTTCCGCCGACCTTCCGCCGCCCTTCGCTCAGGAAAAACTGGCAACTCCTTCGTCCTTCGGTTTTGGCCCTTGCAGGAATCCCTCACAGGCTGTACGCTGAACAGCAGTCAAACGTTTGCTTGTTTGCTGGCCCTCCGCTTCCCCCGAGGGCTTCCTCGGAGGGTCCTGGCGCTGCCGTTGCCGCGGGCGGTTGCGTCAGCCTGTCGGGATCGAAGCAACGCGGCGCGGTCACGGTCGCCAGCGGCAACACGGGCTGGCTCGTCTACGCGGTGCCCATGGGGGGTGGGCAAGGGAGGAAGGGAGGAGGCAGGGGAGAAGGATGTGGAGGTAGACAGGCAGGCAGGCAGGCAGGCAGGCCGGCAGGCAGGCAGGCAAGCCCCAAGGGCCGCCACGCGCGCGCGGACTAGGAACAATTCTTGAACTCTTACCCGAGATTTTAGCACGCCTCTGGCCCGTTGGGCCGGCGAGTTTGCCCGTCCTTCGGCGTATCAAAGGATCCTCTGCGGTCTCCGACGGGGGAAGACCTTTGACGTTCTCGGCCCTCTCCTGGTCCCTCGTTGCCGCGGCTGGTTCCGCCTCGGGACTGGTCAGGACGCGAGAGGTCCAAGGATTGACTTTGGGGAAGCGGGGGGAGGAGGCGCAGCAAAAGGACGAGAAGGAGGGAGAGAGAAAGAACGAGGAGGAGGGAACAGGGATGAGGTTATCAGCGGTCTTGACCCGTTTTGCGAGGCCTTCTGGGGATCTTGGAGGTTCCCAGAGGCCGAGGTGGACGTCCCTTCTTCTTACGGCTGGATCCACCGACCCTGCATTAGAGGACGAGAAGGAGAATGGGGGCGCGGTGGTGGAGGACGTAGTCGTAGTAGTAGTAGTAGTAGTAGTAGTACTACTACTACTACTACTAGTCGTCGTCGTAGTAGTAGTGGTAGTAGTAGTAGTGGTAGTAGTAGTAGTAGTAGTAGCTATTGGTAGTAGTAGTAGTAGTAGTAGTAGTAGTAGT